GGCTTAGAGAATTAAGGAAAAATATTAAGTAAATGCCAATGTATTAAAAGCGTGAGGCGTGGGCGAGGCGTCCAAGGCGAAGCCTAGCCTAGGCGTGAGGCGTGAGGCGTGAGGCGAAGCCTTACATGATTTAATTTTTTTATATATATATGTTTTATATATTATACATATAATTGTATAAAAAACAATACTATGTAAAATAAACATCCATTCTCAATTTTTCATTCAAATCCATAGTCATTCAAAAGATAATATCATTTAAATTCATCATTCAAAGGTAATATCACCCAAATTCATCATTCAAAAGGTAATACAAACAAAGAAAACAATCATTCATCCAAATCATCTTCATATAAATCAAAATACAAACAAAGATATAAATCATTCATCTAAATCCTCTTCATCTAAATAAATCCTCTTCATCTAAATAAATTTCTAACAATTTATTAATTAATTTATAAATTAATCCTTTAATTAATTTATTAACAATTAACCCTTTAGTGCCAATTTCTAACAATTTCTAACAATTTATCTAAGTGCCAATTTATGGCAGTGCACATGGACACAATTTATGGCAACAATTTATGGCAGCCGGCAGAAGCATTAAGTTTATGGTATAAGACTATAAGTGCAAAACAGTTTGGCAGCCACACAGACATAAAACCGTGGGCTCTGTCCCCTATTTTCTATTCTGCTTCTTCCTCTCTCTCTCTCTGTCAGTCCCTTGTTTTCTATTCTGCTTCTTCCTCTCTCTCTGTCTCTCTCTGTCTCTCTCTCGTAGAGCACCTTCGGCCTTCCCCAGAAAATGCAAAACCAGAAAACTAAATCCCCATTAACCCCAGAAAACTATTAACCCCTTCCCCAGAAAATAAATCCCTAATTTCAGAAACCCTAACCTTTGGGATCTTGCTGACGGCGCTGGGGCTGGGCTGATGGTGTTGAGGTGACGGCGGCGAGGTGATGGCGGCGTGGCGGCGTGGCGACACCGATGTTCTGAGCCTCTGGGCTTCTGGCGCTCGGGAGTAGAAGAAGCAAGGCAGAGCCGCAGAAGGCAAAAGGCAGAGGCAGAAAAATGGGTCGAATTCAAAGGTATGGTGGGTGAAGACTAAAAATCCTTACCAAAACGACGTCTTTGGGTTTGGATAGTTAAAAAAAAAAAAAAAAAAAAAAAAAACGTCCAGACGCCTTGAGGCGCACCTCCGCCGCCTCGGCGTCTCCGGCGAAGCATTTCGCCTACTCCAGCAAAACTGAGGCGTTTGCCTCTCCGCCCAGCCTCAAGGGCGCCCTAGGCGCTCCCCGAGACGAGTTCTTTAAAACATTGGTAAATGCATATATAAATAGATATGTGCATGAGGAATTGCCAAATACTAGGTCTAAACTTACTAGACTAATATGTGGCTTACAATGGTTGTGCTACAACTACAACTAATCTGCACGAGTCCACGTCCAGGTCATGTAGGGTGCTTAGTAAGCACATTACTCTATTGCCAAATTTGAAAGTAGATAAGGTCATTCAAAAATATGCCACCTCCTAATACTAGGATTGACACCTTTCCTCAATAGGTTTAACACCTCCTGTTTGCATAGAATACTATCACTAAATGGTGACAACTAGCCAACGGATAAAGGTGTTCAAAACTAAAATCTATTTTAAAAAGCCTAATCAAATCCAACGGGTGCAAAGTACTAACATAGCCATTAGAAGAATATGAGTGGAGTACCCAAAAACCTAAACATATAAAAAATAATTAGGTATATGCATATATAAAAGAAAACCCAATAAAATAATCATATTTGTTTTTGAAAATAAATAGTATAAATATATTTGAAAAAACTACGGGTTCTTATAGTGTTCAACTCATAATCTTCAATTCATATGGTCTTTTAATACCATAAACATTTGATGGATAAGAATCGTGCTGGTATATTATTCAATCTCTGTAGCTCGAGACAATATTCCTTTCAACACTTTATAATTTTCTAGGCTATACAGGAGTCTCAATTTAATCTCATCAACTCTTGCAAGAGATTTAGTAAGTTGCAACAATATCCTAATGAAAGTACTCAGAATGGCAATTTATACCATCCATACAAATGCCCATATGTAACCTTTTGGGTTTAACATTATTTGGTGCTTTGTATCATAGGTCCATTTTTCCACGTTCATACTAAATTGTAATGGAATTGTCTTTCTCCATTTTGGCCAATAATTTTTTTTTTTTCATCGACGAACAAAGGAATGTGGCTCAATATCAACCAACTCATTGATGAATTTAGTAGCTACTGTAAAACCAAAATTAATATTGGTTATCATCAATTTGTGATCCCATAATTCTCATGTGCATGCACATGCATATTTATAAGCATTTCATTACTTTGGATATCCTTACCTCTTTAGAGCCTTTACATTGTCTCTTCTAGGACAGTCATCTCTTATTAGATGAATTGTTCGGAGGATTTGGATGATAACCTCCTCTAGAGCGTTACAGAGCTTTGAATTTTTAATCTCTAATTATGGGGAGTCGAACATTGGAACCTATACATCTATCATGCTTCAAGCATGAGATATATTAAAATTGCCATGTCCATGGATTTGTCCATTTAGGACTTGAATCCATGCGGCAACTGTCATACTTCGGGCATGCTAGTTTAGTAGTGCCAAGTCCATGAATAGTCTTATTGAGACTTCAATTCATGAGGCATCTTTGTAACTTGTTAATGCATTTGATAGTTTATTAGTAATCTTCAAGATTGCATTACCTTTTGTAAATCATTAGAATGATGCACCATTCTACTGTATCAGTGTCTTTAGTTACAGACCACGCAAACTTTTCCATTGGATTCTTCTCATACAAAGGTCTCTTAGACATTTCCCCAAACAGTTCCAATGCATAAAAATCTTTCTTCACAAATTTTCCCACAACATACCAATTAACCCATCCACATTTATCAATCAAAAAGTCTTCACACATGATCGCAAGAACACCAGTATAATATGCCAGAATAAACTGCAAAATCTAATACCATTTGTAAATTCTAGTCTATGGTTTTTTGGTTTTGTATTTTTGTTTGTAAATTCTAATCTCCTTACAATTGAGGGAGCTCAACTCCTTTTATAGACCTTACACCTTTAGTGCCAGCCGACATTTCTAACAGACTTCACTAAAATATTAGGAATAAGCCTAACAAATCCAATATTAAACTCCTAATAGTGATTAAGCCAATCACTAAATCCTAAGTTCATAACATAAGCAATCCGAGTTGATGTAGCCGATCCTCTCACACCGATAACAAAAGTCTTGGAGACGTTCATACCGGAATTTCAATTCAAGAATCAATATTCCCCGACCGCAGAAGCCAACATCCAGTGACGAAGGTATTTTTTTGGTATCAACCAAGATCCTGACCCTTAGGAATCCCCGAGCATAAGTCATATCTTCAAACTCCATCAACTCGCCTACTTCCCTTGCCTTCGTGTTCAGATTTAAGGGGACTCCCTTCGTTTGGTCCCATAAAGGGATCATGTTTAGCTTCACTTCCTCCAAAGCTGTCATTGGGTCATCTTTTCACTGAAAAGTTATGGTCATGACTGCCCAAGAATCTGGTTCTCCATCTTTTCATCCCTAACAATGATGACGAAGGTGTTATCTGACCTAGTTGATTTTGACTTCCTCTGTTATCTAAGAAGTTCTTCTAGACAGTTAGTGTGGCCCCCAAATTGTCTGTTCGTATACACTCTGACACCTTACTTTCTCCAGGTGGTGGAGACTCTTGAAGCCTTATAAGATACAAACCCAATGAATAGATCTTGCGTAAAAGCCAAGTTTGCATTGTTAACAGAGTGGAGAGTAGTTTGATTGACTTAAAATTGGGAGTAAAGGCCATTTTTGGACAATTAATGAAAATATGTTGGTGGGTGGTAACTCTTTCTGAATAAGCAACATCTCATGTTACTCCCACCATAAATGGCTCGAGAAACAGAGGACAAAAGGTCTCGTGAGGAAGAAACTAAGTGGAACGAGGAATAAACTTAGTTGGCCTGAGGATTTGTGGGTATTAACTAGGTGAGTGGAATGAGTGCAACAAGTAGGAAATAGGAATCGAAATAGACTCTCACGACAGAGATAAGTACTCTCAAATAGTGAGAAATTACATTGTTTTGATCTCTAAGCATTCAATAGTGAAAACTACATGCAAAATGAAAAGAAAATGACGATTTTGGGTGTCTAGAGTAATTTTATTGGAATAAGATTCTAATTAATTGTGTCAAGCCATATGCATTACAGTAAGAAGATGAGATACAACGATTTTGAAAATCAAATTGACATGGGAATGTTGTTAATGGATTTTAGGACAAACTTAATTACTAATTTTTATAATTTCTGTTTTTTTTTCTTTAATAAGGGCTTAAAATACGTTAGTGTTGGGATTTTAGTGGGCTTTCCTTGCCATGCCGTCGGTTTTAAAAGGAGGATTATTTCTTCTACTTAATTTAATTTTTAGTTTAATTCAAATTTTTTATATTTTCCGTTTAAGCTTCTCATTTAAAACTAGTTTCAATTTAGTTAGTGAGACTTTTAAAATCATTTCATCTTTGTGGGGTGATATCCGTGCTTATTTGCTATGTTATCATTCGATTTTTATTCTTGCAAGTACTAAAATTTGAGCCTTAATAAGAATAATTTTGGTTTAATTTTCGCAACAAAGAGAAAAGACAGGAGGAGTTTGTTTTGTTTTTAGAATGACACTAATGTGTGTAATCAATTTCACGCATGATATTGATTAATTAATCACTGCACAGACTAAAATAATAACAGTAATGCTAGGAAGATTAAATTTATAGAGTAAATGTTATAAATTAAATGAAATGTAAGTTGATGATTTAATTATTGATTAGTGTACGTATTTATTATTAGTTAAGCATAAAATTCAGTTGGTACGAAATGACTGTAGTGACCAAACAAGAGAGGCATAGAAGAAAGTGAAGTGGAGGGCATGAGATGGAAAAGGAAGAGGAAGGTATGATAGCTGCGAGGTGTGATAAAAGCTGCCGGGTTGCAGTAATAAGCTCTCACTTTGTTACTCCTCCACTCCCCATGGCTGAGAAGGAGGCTGCTCTCGCCGCCGTTCCGTCAGATGCTCCTCTCTGTTTGGTTATAATTTTTTAGGACTGAAATATGTTGAACTAAAGAATCTTATATCTGGTTCTTGTATGTCAATGATTTTACGCTACTCCTTTTTCGGGTTCTTCACCCCTTGATTTTTTCTTTATTTTGAACAGGTCCTTGCTTTTAGGGACATTAGTCCCCAAGCTCCAACACGCATTTTAATCATCTCCAAAGTTAGAGATGGATTAACTGGACTGTCTAAGGTACTTGCTAGTACAGAATGAACTTTGTTTCTTTTTGTTTATGCGATTCCCGTCTCTTTCTCCCTATAGGCAATTACAGTAAGCAATAATGCTCCTTATTTAATTTCGGCTGTTATAAATGCACAGTATAAGCAAAGACTTCAGTCATCAGTGTCTTTGTTCTGCTGCAATCTTGTCCAGTTTGACGTCGCCTCTTTGCATGATTTTACGAATGAAGTGATATTCCTCGTCTCTGTGCTGCAACTCTTGTGGTTTGTTTGATCTTTGCATTGTAGCCCCTCCCCTAGTATTGTGATGTAGCACAACAAGAGAGCTTGCACATGCTATAACTCCTAAATCTTAGAAACATTAATTTCTGGGAGCCAAACGACCATCTTTTGCCTTTGAAACTGAATAGTTTTTGGTCTCCTGGTGCAATAATACCCAAAAAATGACTAGGAATCCTTATTTGACCAAAATAGACTGTTGTAAAAGCTGTGGGAATTGAATGCCTACGTGGTTTAGTTAAAAGTGAAAAAATAAGGAGGACTAAAAATAGTGGTACTGCCAGATTTCGTTGTTGTTGGATGGCATGGTTTTCAATATGCATTAATTTTCCTTGTAGACTTCTACATGTAAATGGCTCTATATAAAGAGCATGCAGTGTATAATCAAACAACACACAAGATCAAGAGTGAAAGCAATAATACATATTTCTCTCCCCACTCTTTATCTGCATCATTTGTGTGATGCAGTTACGAAAATAAACAATGTGATACATTGCACCCATTCCAATTCTCTCTAGCAAAGGTTTTCTCTCTCTTACTTTTCTCAATTTATAACACATTATCAGCATGACTCTCTAACCAAAGGCAAAGCTACATAGAGCCAAGGAGGGGCGGCCGCTCCTCCACTCATCGGAAATCTCCATAGGCAGTAAGAACTATGCCCCTTTGCTCTGTTGAACTTTTCGGATTTCTGGGTTTGGTTGTGTAGCGGCGCTGCACTGGTGTGTTGATGGCTGCTGTGTTTTATTTTTTGGAGAACGAAATCGGGAAAAAAAAAAAAGCTGCAGAGTGGCAGAAGTTGTGAAGAAGATGAAGGTTTATCTATTTGATATTCGTACACCTACACGGCGTCGTTTGGCAAAAGAAATTGGATTTCCCTCTACTGATCTTTTCTTTACCCTTTTTCACTTGAAATTGTTTGTACTTTTTTTTTTGCCAAACAATAGATTTTTGTTAGATTAAATTTGAAGGAAAATTAATGAAAATGGCTTGAAAACTTTGAATTTTAATGATAAGGACAAAATAAAGGGTAAAGTGAATAGTACCAAGATTGACTTTTTTAGTTTAAAAATATGGTTTTTCGTTAAACTGAACAGTACCGGGAGTTTTTCATATGTTCGAACTCTAGCTGTCATGCAAAGGCTCAACACCTTTCCACCACTATGGTAAAAGGCCATTTGCTTTAAATTGAGTGTACTGACCCTCCTTTTTTTAAATCTTCTGCCCCACTCGTTTGTTTACCCTTTTTTCCCCTTTTTCTCTTCTGACCCCACTTTTTTTGTGGCTCGTTTACCCATTTATCTTTTTTTATTTATTTATGCTTGTAAGTTTTATTTTTCTCTTTTAAGACACCTATCATATTTATCTTAAACTCTCACATTTTATATAAATATAGTGTTTTTTTTTTGAGTCGAGTGATAGCGTTAGTAAATTAGATGTTATATTAGCTATTGATGGGGTTCGAACCTACGACATCATGCAAGGACACAACACATCTCCACCACTGTGGTAAAGGGCCACTTGCATATAAATATAGTGTTAGTCTTATTAAAAAAATATGTAAATATCATTTAATACTTACTTGTACAACATATAATAAATTCATTTAAATCTGTCTAAGCTCCCGCCTAGATCATGCTTAGGCGTTAGCTCTCAACCCGCTGGCCGAATAGCGCCTAACACTTTTAAAATCTAATCATAGCCAATTTAAACTTCTTACAGTGGATTGATGTTATCGTTTATAACCGTTTTGATGAAGAGAGTGTTTTCTTTTATAAATATTGTCAAAACTTTGCACTCTTCAATGTGAAAAGCTCGCTTCAGTTGAACTTGCACTCTTTTGAATTTCGCCCTCCTCTTGGAAAATCTGGCTACGCTACTGTCTCTAACCATAATCAGTTTTCATTTCCTTTACTGAAAAATGTTTCCCATAAAGATATTATTGTTCCTTTTCCTTTCTTGCCTTACCTACTGTGTGTTTCCTCACTAAGAGCTACTAGCACCATGCCTTCTCCTATTCCGCAATTTAATAATTGATTATATTTTTTATTTCTTATTTGGTGTAACTTCTTGTTACTAATCTTGTACTACAATTTTAGATGGTGCGGTATAATAGTTCATCTTGAACTGCATATTTAATTTTACTGCAATTTTTGATATAGCGGTATAATCGCCCATCCTAAGCTGCATATGTAATTTTCTGCTACTTGAATGGTGTGGTATAATTGCCTATTCTACACTATATTATTTTAATGAGAGTGGTGCGATACAATCGCTTTCCTCATTATTTTCTTTCTTTTTCATAGTAATACTCAATACTGATGTTAGTGCCAATGTAGTGAGTACAACTAACTACTTTTTTTCTTAATTAATGTCTAAATTATGCAAATTTCTAGCCTGAAGTTTTGAGTGCTTATCATTTGCCTAAAGATCTAAATGAAAATTTTGTAAGAACTAGAAGTTCTAATACTATATTCCTTCAAAATCCATATAATTGCAAGTTTGCGCATCTCATTTTTCTTTCAAAAAAAAAAACGGCGAACTTTGCAAAGCTTGATTTTGTTACCCTTGATATCATGGGAAAAACTACCTTACCTGGGTTATGGATACCAGGATCCATTTGGAGGCAGGAAATCTTAGAGACAGAGAGAAATACTGCATCCTCTCAAGATCAAGCAAAAGTCATGATCTTTATTCGTCGCCACCTCGATGAAGGATTGATAAACGAGTACCTAACAGTTGAAAACCCATTGGCTCTCTAGAATGCATTGAAGAATAGATATAATCACCAAAAAACGATGATTTTCCCAAGAGCTCATTATGAGTGCACACACTTGAGAATTCAGGAATTTAAGACGGTTGCTAAGTATAACTCTACAATGTTCAGAATTAGCTCCCAAATGAAACTTTGTGGGGATACTATCACTGAAGAATATATACTGGAAAAGACTTTTAGTATTTTTCAAGCCTCCAATATGCTCTTGCAACAACATTATAGAGAGCAAGACTTTACATTACAAACAGTTGATATCATTGTTTCTTGTGGCTAAACAGAACAATGAGCTCTTGATGAAAAATCATCAGTCCCAACCAACTAGTCGATGCCATTCCTAGATGTGAATGCTGCTTCCTTGAAGAAACACCACCTCCTCTCATGGAACAATTACAAACGAGGACGTGGCTGCAAGCGAGGCTGATGGAATGAGAAGGGCAAAATCATGGTGTCTAGTTTTACAAACAGGGTTTACGGCATAATTTAAACTCAAGCTACAAAAATGTAAACCACCACAAGGGTAAATCTCATATGAATAACACTCCTAGAAATCATGAAGGAGTTTGCCATAGGTATGGTGGCAATGGGCACTAGGCGTGTACCTGCTGTACCCCGAAACATCTTGTGGCTCTGTACCAAGCCTCCATCAAAGAAAACATGGTCAAAACCAATTTCATCGACCATGCTAATCCAATGGATATATCTGATCCAGTGTTCGATTTATTAGGTCAATTGAACTCAACTTATCTTGATATTTCAGACTTTATTGTGGAAAGGTGAATAAAGTATATCAATCCGCTTAAATCATTTTTATTTTTAATTTACTCTTAGTTCATTATCTGAACTTGTTGTTTAAAGTTTGTGTTTCAATTCAATAAAAAGCGGCATTGCAATTTTCTTTTATTATGAATAAATCGTTTTTTAACTCTGATTATGTACTCATAAAGGATGGATAAAAAACTATGGTTGTTCTCAAAACAAGAACAATCGCGGAGATATTTGTTCCAGACAGCGCAACCACGCAGACAATACTTTGAAATTGAAAATATTTCACAAACTAGCTTACAAAGGTAAAGGTAACAACAATATCAGGCTAATCGGATGTAATTGAAAGCTCAAGAAAAGCCCAGGTCATGATACCAAATGGGACAATATTGTCCATACAAAATGCGTTGTATGCTACTCGATTTACAAGAAATTTGTTGAGTTGATATACAAGTTTTAAACTACAAGTTCAGATAATTAAAAGAAAAGTACATTAAACATGAAAATGATTTAATCAGGTTTGAATTATGCCTTGGACCCTAGTTGTAAAACTGAACACCATGGTTCTTACCCTTCCCATTCCATCAACCTCGCTTGTGGCCACATCCTCGTTTGTAATTATTGCCACGTAAGGAGGTGGTGTTTGCTTTAAGTGAAGCATCATTCACTTTTGGGAATGACGATGACCCAGTTGGTCCGAACTAATGATTTTTCATCAAGAGTTCATTGTTCTGTTAAACCACAAGAAGCATTAATATTAGTTGGTTGTACTTTGTAAAGCCTTGGTCTCTATACTGCTATTGCAGAAGCACATTAGAGGCATGAAAAGTACTAGAAGTCTTTTCCAGCATATCTTCCTCAATTATAGTCTCCCACAAAGTTTCATTTGGAAATAATTTTGAACACTGCAGAGTTATACTTAATAACCGTCTTAAAATCCTAGATTCTCAAATGTGTCCAATCATAACAAGCTCTTGGAAGAATCACCGTTTCTGGTGCTTATATCTATTCTTCAATGCATTCCAAAGAGGCAGTGGGTCTTCAACCGTTAGGTATTCGCTCTTTAATCCTTCGCAACAAATAAAGATCATGGTTTTCGCCTGATCTTGAAAGGAGCAGTGTTTCCTTGATGGTGTCTCCAAGATTTCCTGCCACCAGATGGATCTTGGCATCCACAACCCATGTAAGGTAGTTTT